GGAAATTCATGTCTAGACAGACATAAGTCAACCTAGATATTATGCGAATGTGCATAACGTGTGTTGTCCGCGTGATCGAAAGGTCAAAAACCTTTTTGCTCTTTTACGATGAAAGATTCAAGTTATTAGTAGGGACCTACGTAATGCAACTTTATTTATTGCTTTTTATATCTCAGTCACAATAAAAAAGTGATTCAGCATACATAAAGGTCGTTGGAGCCACGGACGCGGAATGACGTGGTTCTTCTCATCAATAAACAATCTTCATTTACAGGTTAAGGATACAAAAAAGAAAATTGCAAAATAATGGTCCTATTCATGTGTTAATTGAAAATCAAATCTGTCTCTATCAAATGCAAACTGGCAAATCAAGATTTTGAAATGAAACTAAAATACTCATTGTAATATCTATGAAAATTCCTGAAAATTATGAGGAAAAGGACGAAAAATATACAACGGAAGCTACTGTATGTTTAGTGATATTTTATGTGTAACGTGACGAAGACAATGACAATGTATGCTCTGAAACCGCAAATAAGTTTTATTCACTAAGTAATGGCAATGTAAATATAAGAGATAAACGCCAAACAAACACTTTGAGCAAATAGCAATATGTGTCACGAATATTAATAAACGCTGTTGTTTTCTAGGTACACCTAAGCAAATATTATAGCATTCTCCATCAAGTGTATGGTGTTAACGAAGCAGCAATGTTTGCTCATGTGGCGATTAGAGCCGGATCCATAAACTTGTTATTGATACCGATATTACCGATACCGATATTTGACTTCTGATAAGTTTCAACAATTTGAAACGAAGCCTCATCTTCATTTCTTTATGTTCTTGTCCCAATTTATTACAGTGAAGTAATGAACGATGAAAGGAAAGAAACGAAAATGATAAGTTTGTTTTGGTGCTCGTGTCATACTCGTATGTTTTTATTGTTTTTGTTTTAGTTGTAGTTCTAATAAAGAAAAATAAACCTGTTATTAGCCTTGAGAAGACATAAATCAACGATAAAATATTATTACCTAACGAAAATCAACAAAATATTTAAGTAGTAAATCAATCGCATTATGTTTACGTTCAAGAAACCAACATTCCAATTTCCTTTTATAAAACGTCGAAAATCGAAATTAATTTTAGATTAAGTACTACAAATTGTTCTGGCAATGCGCAATTGTAATGTTTGCCTCCAGTAATTTGTAAATATTGTAAAATAAATTAATTACAAACACAACGGAATATTTTTTGTATGCGATCACCGCGAGAACAGCTGTATTGCGTTGTAGATAAGCGCATGCAAATATTATATTTTACAATTTTGTTGTTACGGCCAGCATAATAAGTGTTATTTATTGTTTGTGATTACAACAATGTTTCTTCAAAATTGCTAACACTAAATTCTAATAAAATTATAAAGAGCGTGAATATGTTTGCAATCTTTACGATATACCAGAGGAATATTTATATCTAACTGCAGTACTATTCGCAACATCAGCGCAATATACATTTGACGGTAATGGTCATTACAACAATTGAAACTTTGCGACATAGCTTCATGTCTTCGCAGCAAATCACCTAAAAGAAAGAGGGGTATTTTCATACTTTTCTATAGTATACCATACTATAATAATTATAATATACAGTACATACAACTTAACGCATTAGGTGTTGCTGTCGACTGCGCTTGCACCGGTCGCACAACTTTTACGTGCATTTGGGAAATCGCGCCACTCGGTTTGCCCATACGCGTATGGTAATGAGGAGAGTTCATCGCAGAAAGTATCAAGTTGTGGTATATTTTCCTGTTATCTCTACTTAAAATGGTATTCTCGTTATTTATACAAAGTAACTAATGCAATCCCACCATGCCAAGAAGTATATTTTTTCAAAAGTCCCTCTTGTTAATACCAGTCTTTTAACATAGTTGATATTTCTTAATGCTTCCTTTTCCAAAGTTCGTTTTAAAGTCTGCCGATTTTATCGATTTTGAAAATGAAAACATTGCTATGACTAAGAGCAGAACAGCAATTTTTAGTTGTTATGTATTCACTAAAACTGATAAAAAATCGCTACTGCGAAAAACACAACGGATCAAGTTCGTGAACTCTCCTAACCTTTTTAGGGACGCGAAAGAAAAATATTGTGTTGGAATTTCCTTTTTCTCAATGTGTATTTTTTAAATTTCAGCAATCGTGTTCATAACTTCATTGTTCTTCCAATTATTTTCTATCGTTGTACTTGTATTCTACATTTTCTAGACCTCTGCACTATGAATTGTGTTCCCCAACTGACTTTTAAGTTTAATTCACTGACAATGTTTTTACATCCAAGTGTGGTGAGTTGTTTTGTATTCGTATGATGTCATGCATTAATATATAATTAAATTCCGTCCTCACATGGAGTCACATTTATTTATGAGTCTTTTAACTCGTATTCTGACTTTGTTGTTGCTCTTAAAAATAAAACTAATCAGGTTTCGCAAAGGACGAGTCTTGCTTGTATTCGAAAAGTTGTTTTCGTATTGTATGTAAGTTATGCCGCTAGTTCGATTATAGTTTATGTTATAGATTGTTGATTACCTAAGATTTTACACAAACAACTTTGAACCACGATGTAAAAATAAAGGATTAGTTTAAATACAAGCTGCGCAAAACCGGTGTGTGTTGTTGTTATCTACGAAAACAATACAATCCATTTTATCATAAGGCCTTGAACGCGTGGGTTACATAACGTTGTTTTCGACTAGCGAACGCTATTTAGGTTCAGCGGACTTTTAATTAGAATATCGGTCACTCTCCATCTGGTGATTGTTGCACGCTGCTTCTATCTTCAAAAATATTTTATATTGTCTCGACCTCATTACACGCTTTTCGTGTTCACTATCGCTATCTTTTTAGGTCTCATCAAAGTCAGACACGTGTTCATCGTCTAGCTAGCTATCTTCACTATGTAGTTCAGTAATTGCAACTAATCACAGTTGATCTGTTCAACGAACCTCAATAACATCTAGTTTTNTTAGTTTTGCATAAAACCTCAATTGGCCATCAATGCTCTCAATGAGTATATTGGCGCCGCGTTCTGCAACTGTGACGCAGGCGCCGGTGCTAACGAGAGCCGGCGCTGACCGGTGCAAATTAAACACTCGTCTCCCACTTATTGAAGGTCAGGACTCCCACTCCCGTTAATAAGATCTCATCAAGATCCTATTTATATCCTGATTCTAATTATAACTTGAGACAAATCATCACGCACCACTTATAGTCCGGTGCTCCGGTGTGCATTCTTGACTCACCGGCCCATCAAAAATACAGCTTCATACTTTTCATACACGTAGGCGCGGGACCAAAATACACCGAAACATGTCACTGAACCAATATTATCCACTGTTCTCTCGAACAAGAAAATAAATGTTTCTTTAAAGAATGAGAATTGTTGATCTAATTGAGAGGATTTATAGCTTGCTATTACATTATCCACTGCGAATGGTATCCGCATTCTTACCTAGTATTATCATAAAAATCTTAACTGTGGTACTAGATTGTTTACTTTACTGAATAGTTCAAATACATAATGTGAAATTGAAATATTTATTTTTCATGGTCATATTGACTTTGGAATGGAATGATGCGTTAAAGCAAACCTCACAGCCAATGGTTTTATTTTGGTCAGCTGTGATACCATGGAAGATCCCTTTATTGAAGTCTAAAATAGCACCCAATGAAGTTTAATTGCCTCCAGCAGACTGGCCACCGTTTATGTCGTAAACATCGCCGCCCATGGACGTACCGACACATTAGCGTGTCCAATTCTAATTGTTAAAATTCTCTGTTTGATATTTGCTCTACGAACCAAATTGATTATACAAATAGATTCTTTCCTTTACGAGGTTGTTATTCGGCACTTGTTAGCCTTCTCAATTTGTGTTGTTAATGTAGAGACGTATTGTCGATCTATAATAGATGTGCCTATATTTAGCTCCGGTATTCACGATTTTTTGCTATTCATCATGCCCATAAAAGCAGTTCAAGCATCGATTGCTTTACGCGTCCGCATATTTCAGTCGGTCAAAACTATAAATGCAGTTGCATAAAATAATTACGCTAAAACTTTTGAAATTAATTGTGAAAATTTTAGTAATGAGCTCATTATTTAATTGTATTGTCTAATTCCATCAGAACCCGGTTAGGAATTTATTCCGACTCTTTTTCGATGTAACATCGATATTTGTACCTCGTATGTTATGTATCGTAAACGTGGTGTGAAAATTGCGTATATGAGTAAATTCTACATTGTATATGTGTTGTTATTATATATTTAAGATACTGCCACAATCAAATTCGAGAAAAACAAGGATCCAATCGATAGCAATCTGGGTTGTGTGTGTTGTCGAGTTCAGGGTGCACGGGCGGCCCGCGTGCGTGGCGGTGACGTGTGCGCCGCCATTTTATATAGGGCGAGCGCGCGCGCAGACCATCAGTCGCCTGCAAGTCGCGCCAGTGGAACTTCCTCGCGCAAGTCCACTCATCGCCACCGCCAGTCGCGTATCAGCCGTCGCCGGTGTCGCTCACATATTATAAATTAGTGACCCTGAATAACTAGTTCACCGCGTTCTATAACATGATCGACGTTGTGCAACAACCCCGAGATGCCTGCCTTTACGAGATCCGACAGAAGGGACAACGGGATCCCTGTTACGTGGTCGTGCCTAATACAAATGTACGGGTTCGTTTCAAACTTTGTGTTTCTTATAAACTTGTTCGTTTTCCTACATAGTTTACCATCCACGAAGCCGGTCGAGCGTCTAGCAATAAAACATTTTATTCGAAAAGCGTTGACCAAATTTAAAACCGATGTTTGCGTATTACAAAACATGTTTATCGACTTGTGTTATTGAGTTCATGATATCAAGAATAATTATCAACTTAGCTGTCTGAAATAAAATGTGTGTACATATTTTTTTGATTAAACTAACGTAACTTTTTGAATTGTTACAGGATCTGGTTAAGAGCCACCTGATGTTCGCGGTGCGCGAGGAGGTGGAAGTACTCAAGGAACGCATCGCCGAACTGATGGAGAGGATCAACCAGCTCGAAGTGGAGAACACGTACCTGCGGGCCCACGCCAGCCAGGACACGCTGGCGCAGCTGCCGGCCGCCGGCACGAAGCCACCGCCGCAGCCGCAGGGCCCGCCGCCGCCGGTGTCGTAGGCCGCCGGCGCGCGCCCGCCGAACACGCCCGCCGGCACCGCCGGCCCCAGACCTCAACGCCTCCCCTCGGCGCGCGACCCCGCACGCAGGACCGGGGAGTCACTATGGCTGTGTTATGTTAATTCGTAGGTTAACAAGGAGTGTGGACACGCCGGTCGAGCGCCGAGGGCCGCCGCGCGGCATCGCCCGGGCGCCCCCGAGGGCCCGCGAGCGATCGCCTCACATTATTATGCTTTCATTCATAGAAGTATATTTTTTCTGTTAGTAATGTTTAGGGTGCAGAATTTTGTGCTAACTGCCATGCTTTTGCTACGCATCTCAGCAACGAGTCTTTAGTGTTTCTATGTGCGTCTATACTTTTATTCGGTTAATGTTAGGTATCGCTATCCACGTAATGTATTCCATTTAAGATAACTGTAAGACGTGTGTTTATATTGAATGTAACGGAATAGTTGATATTTCTGCGCATTGAACAATGACTGTGTGTTAATTTATTTTCTATATTTTTATATATGTAATTTAAGTTATTTATCGATTTCACTACTGTGTTACAATAAATTGAAAGTGTTCCGGGAGGGACGAGACTATGTAATGATCTGTCGTTACTGAACGTGTTGTGTGCAGTTTTCGTTTAGTTGATACTTTAATTATACGTTACAATTTAATATAGATGTCTGAATGTATGTTATCTGCAGTCGATGTTAACGTTTGCCGCGAGTGGAGTCAAGTCGAGTAGAGTAGATCGTTGCGAGAATGTGACCTCGTGCGTCGCTGGCTTTAGTCAATTTTGCACGCTGAAACCGAAAAAAAAACTATTTTTATTCCAACCCTATATCGATATTAGTGGTAATAGCGATTTAACATTGTATTTTTTTAATAATTAAATTGTTTGTATATAGTACAAGTTGTAATAGAATTGTGAGTCGGAATGATGTACATAATGAAAGAATGTGATGAAGGCAACCGATTCCTTAGTCTCCCCTCTGGATCGAATCCGCATAGTGAGGGATATATCTAAAATGTATAAGTTAAATATTCGCTGTATTTAAAATAAACTAGGTCCATTGTTTAACCATTGAAGAGCTGAACAAAGAGTCTGGCGACCAGGATTAGGAATGAGTTTGAGAAGCTCGCAGCAAGAAGGAAGGTCCCAGCCGGAGTGTGACTATTTTACTATTAGAGTAGTATTTTGTACAACGCTACTATGTGTATAGATGATTTTGTTAGGTCTTCGTAATTATTGTGAATATACAGTAATTTACCCCTACAAGCATTACCCTAGACATAGATATGAATTATATTATATGATACTGAAATTTGTAAATATACTGTAAACAGAGAATGTCCATTGTAGCTTATGTTGACCAGAAAGGTTCCTCATACCCAATAAATGCAAAAACTACTCAAATATGTGTTTGTTTCTTTTATCTACCCAAAAGATATGCTGATTAGTTCTTTGATCAATTAAGAAGTAATTAACCTGTATACCTGCTTGATAACACTTGACTAAATTATAATATTTACCTTGTAGTGGTAGAGTGATGTAGGAGTCGGAGACATAATTTTTGAAACTAGAATAGGGAAGATTAAAATTCTCTATTATTAGAATAAATTCCTAAATCTTGAATTGAGATTTGAGCAATATTTAATAGCCACACAAAATCTCATTTTTATAAAAAGCGCTTAATTTATTTTATATTAACAACCAACAAGAACGTGAACATTTATAAGATTTTAACCAAGAACATCATAAAATAATTGAGTATCATGAAGATATAAATATGGTGCAGTCCTGTTGTCCCCCCTGCTTGGCCCCCCTAGGGGAGCCAACAGGATTTCGAAATCCTGTTGTCCCCCCTGGCTAGGGGAGACAACAGGACTAGATTTTTAATCAATAATTTGAGGATTGTTGTCCCCCCTGGCAAAAATTGTTTAAAAGCCATAAAATTTTATAACATTTAAGAAGGACTGGAGTACCTGAATGAATGGCAAATTGCCAAACTGAATACCTAAACATATGTCAAATAATATTAACATTTGGATAACGAAAAAAATATAAGTTCTTGGTACCGGTACTATTTCAGACTATTTCAAAATCTGCTTTACTTGCTTTTGACAAAATCGTTATGAATTATCCCTACTAAATAATATTATAAATGCGAAAGTAACTTTATCTTTTTTTATAAATAAATACAAACATATAGCGGACAAAGCCGTAGGCAAAAGCTGAGTACCTCTATTATGCTATTCTCATGTATAAAAAATATTATCTAGGTACTGTCAAAATCAAAGGTAAACTGGATGAGAATGCCTTATGGCATTAAGTTCGCCTAATGTTAATATTTTTGGCATTGAAGTATAAATAAATAAATAAATANTGTTTGCAGTTGGCTGACCAGAATAAACTTTCCAGTATAGGTAATTGTTTTTGAGTATTTTACTACTTAGGAAGAATATTCTTTGAATTATCTGCTACCTCTATGTTATTAGACAATGCTTTGTCACAAACATCACCTTGAAGAGTGAACCTAAGTAAAATTTTGTGCTCAAGATGGACATTAATATCTCTTTTAAATTATGAGATGGAAACTCTTCCATGGGTACCCCCCTAACCTCTGACCTAATGTTCATATTCTATTCACTAGGATTTCTAAAGCTTCATTAAATCAACTTTGATTTCACTCTAAACAAGCTTTTCTAATACAGTGTGAGTCACGTTAAAGTGTACATATGAAAATAGATGAAACTAGACCTATTTTTATCGACAAAAAAGAGGTCAAAAATTTTTTGAGATTTTTTTTTAATTTTTTATAGAATTTTTTTTCTTCAAATTACTTATTGTTTGTAAAGAAAACGTAATAACTTTTAAACTAAGCGGTATATCCTGATAAAATAAAAACAGTAATAATGCTAAATAACAGGCAATACTAAAAAAATACATAAAATACACAAAAAAAGGCCAAAAAATAATAAAAAATGATACTTTTTGAAAAAAATCTGCTAAAAAAATTGTGATTTTTTGGTTATTTGATAAATTTCTCCAAAAAATGCCCCTATAACCGGTGGTTTTTATTACTTTTNTCTACAGATTTATTATAAGTATAGATGAACAACCAAGAACATGAACATTTATAAGATTTCAACCAAGAACATCATAAAATAATTGAGTATCATGAAGATATAAATGTAGGAAAATTACCACCCGGACCATGGCTATGCCACAGGTAAACAAACACTGATTGTAGTGCCAGCCAACTAACATGAAAACATAATACGATATTTGTGATATTATTCTGTACGAGAAGGTACGTAGCGCCCTCTGTCATATCATAACCTACCATTTGATTACCGCATTAAAACTGGCACTAGCGCCATCTATTGAGGTATGCTAAACCTGAATCTCCGTATGGCAATGTTTTGCCTTGAACAACAATAGAAGACAGTATGAACAAATATTGGCAGAGGGCAGTTAGAGGAGACAAGTGTGAGATTACTTTTTTATTTATACATCCTAAACCTAAACTTACTAGTATTTATTTTGTTCTACCTACACATAATACATAATTATTATAAACTTTAAAATTAAATAAAATAATCCGCAAGTAAATGTTTCTCAAGGTATTTCGCCGAAACAGTAAATTTTCTGTGTCCAGGCAGGCGAACACATGTTTTTTTATATTTATATGTATAAAACTATTTTTATGGGAAAGTTAATCAAAAGTTTTATTTGTTTTTGCTATTACAATAGCAGAAACTACAAATAATACCGTAGAAAAACTTAATCAAAAGTCGTTTTTCTAATTTCCTTGTTATGTCCAGTACTGTTGTTTGCCAAAATGAAGGCACCATTAGAACAAATTGAAGCGTAATTTCATTCTAATAGCACTCTCTTTATATTTGAGAAAAGTTTGGCTATCGGAAAATAAAAACTTTAAATGTCAAATACTTTCGTTTTCAGCCAAATGACGTCCACTGCTGGACAAAGGCCTCCCCCAAGGTGGGGTCAGGGAGAGGTCAAATACTTAAAGGAAGGAAATAAAGTGAAGTTAAGTTCTTGTCCGAGTCAAAAGTATAATTTCCCTGGGTCTTCTTTTCGACCATTGTAGTAACGAAACGAAAGAACTTAGAATGTAATGCACTGCACCGTTACACTCGGCCATTTCGTCCCAAGAGGCCATCGAGGCAGGACAGTACTTCGTTGAACAGTTTCTCGACAAATCGCGTAAGTAGGTCCCTCCTTGGGTTTTTGTTTACTAAAAAGTCAATTTCTTTGGACGGTTTTTTGCAGCTAAACAATGGATTAATTTTATTGTTTATTTACACAGATGTAGTGTCTGTAGGGGTAAACCCATGATTTAAATAGTAAATGCATAAGGTAAACAGGTTTATGTCTGTGGTGTCTTTTAGGCATAAATCTAATTTCTTTGGCCCTAATTTCCTTGTTTTCCGTGGCATAAAAAGGCCTAGGAAATTATAAAAGACCATTTTTAATTCGGCGTAAAGTCAAATTTTGAGTATTTCTTTATTGGAATAAGTTTAAAATTTAAATTTTAAGAAATGGGTATCAGAATAGATATAGAAAAACTTGTTTTTAACTCTTAACTCAATCTACTGAATTTATCTTCCTTAGTTGTGTAAAAAGGTCGTAATGATACAATATTCATTGGTATGTTTGCTTGCGAAGGTACACAAAAATGGGTCGAACAAAAAAAAAAGCAAACCACACAAGAAAACTTAGAGAAAAAAATATTTATAATAATTTCCTTGGCTACCAAAAATTCATGACCTTATAACTAAAACGAATTATCACACCCCTTTTAGATATATTAGCTTAGTTTTTGTTACTTAATACAATGGGAAACGAAAAATAGTTAAAAACAAAAATATATTTCGTACCAAGGAAATTAGGCAAAATTGACCATTTTTGGCGAAATACCCCTCAATGCTAAACAATGCCATCTATTGACAGTTTTTGTAACTGAAAAAAAACTGCTACTCCCCGCTAGATGGCGGTATCCTAGCTATATCACCTTTCGCCAAAATTAAACATCTTTCGTCATGTTTCATCATCATTTCATCACAGTTTTTCCGAAAGTTTAATGTTTATTTTAAAGAAAAGTTATGACTGGTCTGCCGCTTGATATAATATTTATTGATTTAACTTTTTTTATTATCAAAGACAAAAAGACAATAGGTCACTGTTATGGTCTCATTGTATAAAATTTATACTATTAACTTCGCTGTTTATCAAAGTTTAGTTAAAAAAAAAACAAGAAAAATCAACTCTTCGTATTACACAATTTTCTACACATTTTTCAGTTTTTTTGAAGATCGATTACGATGAAAAATTCTACTCTATGGTCTATATTACACCCATTTTGTGCTTTTGTAAATTTCTGAACGAAGCGAATCAGCTGTCAAATATCCCACGTCAATGTCAAAATGACGTTAGTTATTTGCCTGACGTCTGACGTCGGCAGTGTTATGTGATTTCCAATTTCTTTTTAGACAAAATGGATAATAACATGAGTTTAAAAGAAATTCAAAGCAAATTATTGCTATGGGAGGCTCCAGAGAACCCACTAGCACCGCTAACGGCGGATCAACGAGAGGCAATATTGGATTTGGAGTCCTTAATCCTTGGTGTTTCCAATGAAACTGAAGAAGTTTGTATTTGATAAAAAAATTGTTTTAAAAGTCTAGATAAATCGATAGAAACAATATCAAATTTTATTACCCTTATCTACCATTTCATATGTATTCTAGGACAAATCAGCGGACGAATCCAATAAACAAACGGAAAATACTCCCATACCACCAGTGGACAAAACATTCGATTTCCTGGATTGGTATGAGAGTTTATGCGAGAAAACTATCAAGGCGGATGATTCTCCGTACGAGGCATACTACCGGCAATTGGAGGATAGGAGAAATGAATGTGTATCTTTGAATAATCAGGTAAAATAACAGACCAAAAATTTTTTCGATGTAATCAAAGATCCTGTCGTATAATAGGTTCTCTTTTAGATTGGGGCTACAATGGCGGACCTGTACAAGTTATCAGAAGAATATGAGCTTGTTTCCAACAAAACCAATGCCCTACATTTGATGAGTGAGCAGTTGTTGGCTGACCAGAATAAACTTTCCAGTATAGGTAATTGTTTTTGAGTATTTTACTACTTTGGGAGAGTATTCTAAAGAATTATTTCCAATGTTATTAGACAATGCTTTGTCACAAACAACACCTTGAAGAGTGAACCTAAATAAAATTGTTCTAAAGATGGATGGATCTCTAATGAATTAAGACATGAAAGAGTCTTCATATGCTATTCATGAGGGTTTCAAACCTTTTATCATTAATTACATTCTTATTTCACCTTAAAAAAGTGGAATCTTTCCTATTTTAACGTTTTTACTTCTTATAGTGGCTCAAAACAATAATTTACTGATGTCTGCATCAATATCATTTGCAGTATTAATTAGGTTTACTAATAATTATTTTTCAGGTGATGACATCAAGCAGAAGCTCCATTACTTCACTCAGGTGGAGCACTTATCTCAAAGACTCAACAGCACCACCATGTCAGTGAACAGTGAAGCATTCTTCATAGTGCTAGCTAAAATTGATGACTGCTTGGAATATATGAAGAGCCATGTAAGTTACTAATAAATATTAGAAATATAGACAAGAATATACTTTGGAAATTGTTTAACAGTCCTAGACAACTATTAATTGTAAAAATCTTGTTAACACAATCCTTCTTTGAATCACCGAGTTGAGTTTTGCCACGAAATGCTAAGTAATTTTTGAAAAATTGTTTGTTATAAAGTTAAAGAAAGAAATGTAGCAATTTTTATGGGTCTTAATTTCAATTCAATGCCTTGTAATAGTAATTCAAAAGGTTAATAAAAACTTTCTAGAAAATTATGATGTTGATTAGGTATTTTTTATGTATTTCAGAGTACATTCAAAGAAGCTCACACATACCTTGTAAAATATAGGCACCTGCAAAGCCGAGCCATCTCTCTCATCCGTTCCTATGTGAATCATGTTCTGAACCACGCCACAGAGCAAGTATTGGCTCCGAACGATGAAGACTCGACGGAGCAGGAGTCTATGGACACTGCGTATGCTGTGTACTTCGGCAAGTTTCAGGCAGCAGCTCCTAAGTTGAGGATGGTGATTAGCGAGATTGAAACAAGGGCAGAGACTAATGCTGAGTGAGTAGAAAAAACATATATTTTTGTGATAGTGAGCCCTTTATTGTCACAAGAGCATGCTACCACGCTCTTGGCTTAATGAGGAGGTTGGCAACATTATAGGAGAGCCAAATAAAATGAAATGTTATATTTATTTGCTTCAATCTTGAGTAATACAGTAGTGTTCTCAAAATAGTGAAATAGTCTCAAAAGTGTCAAATGTGTAAAGGTTTTTGATTTTTATCTGACTTTCAACAAAAGGAGGTTCTCAATNGTCGCCATTCGAGAACTTTCCTGCCCCAACGGCCATCGTCTCTACGAGCTATGTGCCCCGCCCACTGCCACTTGATTTTAGCAATTCTGCGAGCTATGTCGGTTACTTTGGTTCTCCTGCGGATCTCCTCATTTCTGATTCGATCACGCAGGGAAACTCCGAGCATAGCCCGCTCCATCGCCCTTTGGGTGACCTTGAGCCTTCTTATGAGGCCCATAGTAAGCGTTTGATTTTTTAGAGTTTAATTGTGAAAATAGGGACTCAAGAAAACTTGAAATAGAGTCGCAGTTTGCCGACCCCTGATCAACCAAATTTAAAAAATATCTCGATAAACAACACATGAGCTGTTAGTATCCTTCAAAGACTTCCTTGTATAACAAATCTACAAAGACCGGTCCTGCGCCAGGCATCTCCCGCGACCTTCAGCAGATCGTCGGTCATGTGAGAGGTCTGCCCACGTTACGTCTTCCGGCTCGTGGACCGGTCTTTGTGGAAATCCTTGGGGGAGGCCTTTGTCCAGCAGTGGACGTCTTTCGGCTGAAACGAACGAACGAATAACAGATCAATGTCGTTCTTTCTTCCAGCTACGCATCTCTCCTCTCCGATATCAAACGCGAGTATGCAACGCGTCGGGCTCGCGTAGCCGGCGCGCCCACCGCTGCAGCGCTTAGTGCAGCCGCTGCGAAACATCAGCGCGATCACTGTACATTAGCGCGCGCCGCGTGTTCGTTACTCGCGCACGCGTGTAGAGACGAATGCGCGTTGTACTCGCATCTGTTTGCGAAAGTGTCGCCAGAACTCGAGTGAGTAATTTAGGCACTAGTTGTAGTAGTATAGGTAGGTACCAGTGTCCACTACTTTAGGCACCAGTGTCTAAGTAGTTTAGGCAGTAATGCCTACCGCTGCTACGTTCAGTGCGGCCGCCGCGAAACACCAGCGCGATCACTGTACATTAGCGCGCGCCGCGTGTTCGTTACTCGCGCACGCGTGCAGAGACGAATGCGCGCTGTACTCGCATCTGTTCGCGAAAGTGTCGCCAGAACTCGAGTGAGTAATTTAGGCACTAGTTGTAGTAGTATAGGTAGGTACAGAACCACTACTTTAGACACCAGTGTCTTAGTAGTTTAGGCAGTATCACTTACCGCTGCAGCGCTTAGCGCGGCCGCTGCGAAGCACCAACGCGATCATTGCACGTTAGCACGCGCCGCATGCTCGCTGCTCGCTCATGCGTGTAGAGACGAATGCGCGTTGTACTCGCATTTGTTTGCGAAAGTGTCGCCGGAGCTCGAGTGAGTATTAAAACACTAGTTGTAGTAGTATAGCTAGGCACCAGTGTCCACTACTTTAGACACCAGTGTCTTAGTAGTTTAGGCAGTATCGCTTACCGCTGCTGCGCTTAGTGCAGCCGCCGCGAAGCACCAGCGCGATCACTGTACATTAGCGCGCGCCGCGTGTTCGTTACTCGCGCACGCGTGTAGAGACGAATGCGCGTTGTACTCGCATCTGTTTGCGAAAGTCTCGCCGGAACTTGAGTGATTATTAAAACACTAGTTGTAGTAGTATAGGTAGGTACAGAACCACTACTTTAGACACCAGTGTCTTAGTAGTTTAGGCAGTATCGCTTACCGCTGCTGCGCTTAGCGCGGCCGCCGCGAAGCACCAGCGCGATCACTGTACATTAGCGCGCGCCGCGTGTTCGTTGCTCGCTCATGCGTGCAGAGACGAATGCGCGTTGTACTCGCATCTGTTTGCAAAAGTGTCGCCAGAACTCGAGTGAGTACTTTAGACTAAAGCCTGGTCCGTGAGCACGTAGAATTTTGTCCAATGACCCCAAGCTACCCATCCTTATCGCTCGCGTGTAATTATATTGCTGTCGCGACTGTGTGACGGGCGCCCGCAGTGAGTGTGCGAGCATACTTTCGAGAAATTCTACGTGCTCACGGACCAGGCTTTAGTTTTAGCAGTAGTATAGAAAGGTACCAGTGTAACCAGTGTTCACTACTTTAGGCACCAGTGTCTAATGCCGGTTTTCACCATCAAACCCTAATTTCTAAGTGACCCCTATGACAACAAAATTATTGTTAAATGTTACTATAGGGGTCACTTAAAAATTAGGAATTGATGGTGAAAACACGCATAAGTAGTTTAGGCAGTATCGCCTACCGCTGCTGCGTTTAGCGCGGCCGCTGCGAAGCACCAACGCGATCATTGCACGTTAGCACGAGCCGCGTGTTCGTTACTCGCGCACGCGTGTAGAGACGAATGCGCGTTGTACTCGCATTTGTTTGCGAAAGTGTCGCCGGAACTTGAGTGAGTACTTTAGACTAAAGCCTGGTCCGTGAGCACGTAGAATTTTGTCCAATGACCCCAAGCTACCCATCCTTATCGCTCGCGTGTAATTATATTGCTGTCGCGACTGTGTGACGGGCGCCCGCAGTGAGCGTGCGAGCGCGACAAAATTCTACGTGCTCACGGACCAGGCTTTAGTTTTAGCAGTAGTATAGAAAGGTACCAGTGTTCACTACTTTAGGCACCAGTGTCTAATGCCGGTTTTCACCATCAATCCATAATTTCTAAGTGACCCCTATGACAACAAAATTTAATTTTGTTGTCATAGGGGTCACTTAAAAATTAGGAATTGATGGTGAAAACACGCATAAGTAGTTTAGGCAGAAGCCCTCACCGCCGCAGCGCTTAACGGAGCCGTTGTGAAACAACAGCGCGATCACTGTACATTAGCGCGCGCCGCATGCTCGCTACTCGCGCACGCGTGCAGAGACGAATGTGCGTTGTACTCGCATCTGTTTGCGAAAGTATCGCCGGAGCTTGAGTAAGTAATTTAAACATTAATGTTCGTTAGTTTAGGCACTAGTGTCCGCTACTTTAGACACTGCGCTGCGTTTAGTGCGGCCGCCGCGAAACACCAGCGCGATCATTGTACGTTAGCGCGCGCCGCATGCTCGCTGCTCGCGCACGCGCGTAGAGACGAATGCGCGTTGTATTCGTATCTGTTCGCGAAAGTTTCGCCGGAGCTTGAGTAAGTATTTAGGCACTAGTTGTAGTAGTATAGGTAGGTACCAGTGTCCACTACCTTAGGCAATAGCGCCCACCGCTGCTGCGCTTAGCGCGGCCGCCGCGAAGCATCAGCGCGATCACTGTACATTATCACGCGCCGCATGCTCGCTACTCGCTCATGCGTGTAGAGACGAATGCGCGCTGTACTCGCATTTGTTTGCCAAAGTGTCGCCAGAACTCGAGTGAGTAATTTAGGCACTAGTTGTAGTAGTATAGGTAGGTACCAGTGTCCACTACTTTAGGCACCAGTGTCTAAGTAGTTTAGGCAGTAATGCCTACCGCTGCTACGTTCAGTGCGGCCGCCGCGAAACACCAGCGCGATCACTGTACATTAGCGCGCGCCGCGTGTTCGCTACTCGCACATGCGTGCAGAGACGAATGCGCGCTGTACTCGCATCTGTTCGCGAAAGTATCGCCGGAGCTTGAGTAAGTAATTTAAACATTAATGTTCGTTAGTTTAGGCACTAGTGTCTGCTACTTTAGTCACTGTCGCCGGCGCTGCCTATCGATGCTGCGCTCAGTGCGGCCGCCGCGAAGCATCAGCGCGATCACTGTAAATTAGCGCGCGCCGCATGCTCGCTACTCGCGCACGCATGCAGAGACGAATGCGCGCTGTACTCTCATCTGTTTGCGAAAGTGTCGCCAAAACTCGAGTGAGTAATTTAGTCACTAATGTCCTTTAGTTTAGGCACTAGTGTCCGCTACTTTAGTTAGACACTAGTGTCCACTATTAATGGCACCATTACTGTACTGTCAGTCATTTGCACTCAAAATGCTGTCTCTTATGTCTCTACGGACTAGTCACAGTGCGTGTACGCCATTATTAGACTTATGCTCTACTCCATAAGACTTATTATTTCCTTCATGGGAGTACCTGCAATCCCTCTGCAATGGACTTTACGAGACGCTGCGGCCGCACATCATCCACATTATCCACCTGGAGACTCAATCTCTACTCTAGTCACGTGCATGCCATTGGCACTCTAATGCTCTGGCCACGTGCATGCCATTTACACTCTTATGCTCTACTCCATAAGGCTTATTATTATCTCCAGGGAGTACCTGCAATCCCTCTGCAACGGACTTTACGAGACGCTCCGGCCGCACATCATCCACATCGTCCACCTGGAGACTCTGGCTGAGCTGTGCGTCATCCTGCGCGTCGAGATCATCGAGGAGCAGGTCAATAACGACCGTGAGTTAAAGTTCTATTTGATTTTAAAATTCGTTTAACTTTTTTCATCTTGGTTTATAGTCTGCATCTGCGCACTTCATGGAAAGTTATGTTCAGGTCGAAGGTGAAGGAGAGTTTCAACTGTAATCCTCAATCTCAGAAGAACTAGTTATCTTATCTTGTGCTGCCAAAACATCATGCTAAGCTCTTCCTTATAAACGTTTTTAGTTTGTATTGAAAAGCTACCTGACTGGATAGGATAGCTTAGGGATTGTCTTAGGGCAAAACCTTCATAATTTTGCCTTAGTTAAATTAAAGAGGGGTTGGTGTTTCTGCAGAGGAGACTAAGGCCTGGTTCAGACACGCGCGATGACGGCGCAGTGGTCTCATTGACGAGGCATTCAGACGGTGCTCATCAAATGTATGAGAACTGCCCAGCAATGTCGCATTTATATCTGTGTCTGAACCAGACCTAAATGATTAGTGTGTTTAGTGTGAGTTTACATCAAATGTATTCGATATCAAGTGCGTCAAAATAATCTATGAAGATTTAGTTCTTGAAAGTATTCGGTAGGAACGCTGTACAATCTGTCATACATTTTTTTTCCTTTTCTATTCTGCTACTTGGCAATCTGTTTCTGTGAAACAATAATCTAATCATCTGTCTGATTCCAATCCGGCAAATTTCTTACCAAGTAGCGAACACGTTTGATGGCAAGTCACACTAAGCCCCTTGATGACGGTGATTGAAAATCGATTGTTTTGTGGTTTCCCAGCGAGCCTGAGCGCGTTAGGTGCGACGGCGCGCGCGCTCCTACAAGACGCGCAAGAGAGACTAGTGTTCCGCGCGCACGTGCATTTGCGCGCCGACGTGCTGCACTACCGGCCCGCGCCCGGCGACCTCGCCTACCCCGACAAGCTGGAGATGATGGAGGTAGGCTCCTCTCCTTATGTGTCCCTCCCTTGCCAGGTACTGTGTCTCTCCTGCGGCACCTGTGGTCTAGGGACAAGAAGCCCGACCTACCCCGACAAGCTGGAGATGATGGAGGTAGGCTCCTCTCCTTATGTGTCCCTCCCTTGCCAGTTACTGTGTCTATTCTGCGACACCTGTGGTCTAGGAACAAGAAGCCCTACCTACCCCGACAAGCTGGAGATGATGGAGGTAGGCTCCTCTCCTTATGTGTCCCTCCCTTGCCAGGTACTGTGTCTCTCCTGCGGCACCTGTGGTCTAGGAACAAGAAGTCCGACCTACCCTGACAAGCTGGAGTTGATGGAGGTAAGATGGAAAAGAGGAAGCTCCTCTCTTTATGTGTTTCTCTCCTGAAGCACAGGTGTTCCTCTCCTGAAGTACATGTTTCTCTCGGGAAAGTCTCGGGCTCTCTTGAAGCATAAATGTTTTTCTCTCCTGACGCACATGTTTTTCTCCTGAAGCACATGATTTTATCTCCTGCAGCACCGCTATGCGTTTCTCTCCTGATGCAAGAAATGTTGTTCCTCTCTTGCAGTACAGCTCTCTCCTGTAGTACATGTGTTTCTTTCCTGAAGCACAGGTGTTTCTCTCCTGATGCACATGTGTTCCTCTCTTAAAGTACATGTGTTCCTCTGCTGAAACACATGTGTTCTTCTGCTGAAGCACATGTGTTCCTCTGCTGAAGCACATGTGTTCCTCTGCTGAAGGACATGTGTTCATCTCTTGAAGCACATGTCTTTCTCTCCTGAAGCACCGCGTGTTCCTTTCCTGAAGTACATGTGTTCCTCTCTTGAAGCACATGTGTTCATCTCCTGCGTCATAGCTATAGTGTTCCTCTCTTAACAGAGACAACCTGTTTTATTTTTGTGTTTGTGTTTTATCGGCTGTAAAGGTTCCTTTTAGTTTTTAGACAGATGTACTAATATTTTAAAGAAATTTTCAATAGATTATACAGATCTCTTCAATATAATAATAACAAAATCTATTGATTTGTTTCCAGCAAATCGCGCTCTCAATCCAAGAGCAGAGTCTCAAACGGAGCGATTCCCGCAATTCCATGGTGTCAGACATTTCTGCGACGTCACAAGAAGTGGCTAATATCAACGTGGAAGCTCAAAGAAGGCCGCAGGCGTCGCCGGCCGATCTCCATGGCATGTGGTACCCGGGCGTTAGGAGGACGCTTGCAGCTCTATCTAGACTGTACAGGTGATTATTTCTAAAGCCCGGTCTGTGAGCACGTAGAATTTTGTCCAATGACCCCAAGCTACCCATCCTTATCGCTCGCGCGTTATTATATTGCTGTCGCGACTGTGCGACGGGCGCCCGCAGTGAGTGTGCGAACGCGACAGCAACATAATTACGCGCGAGCGATAAGGATGGGTAGCTTGGGGTCATTGGACTAAATTCTACGTGCTCACGGACCAGGCTTTACCTACCTACGGAAGCCGAAAATCATACCACTACTTTTTGTCTGCATAGGAGAACCAAAGTAACAACATAGCTCGCAGAATTGCCAAACTTAAGTTGCAGTAGTCGGGGAATAGCTATAGAAGTTCTATTCTATTCTACAATAGTTCTCGAGTGGAGACCATAGATCTAGTCAAAGTGACAACGATTTAGTCCCGTGGGAAACACCTGGATGCAGGCAGCGCGGGACCGGCCGTTGTACATAGGTATCCATGGAGGACTTTTTCCAGCAGTGGACGTTCTTTGATACGAACTTTTTGTTGAAAACCGTGTGTGTAATTGACCTCAAAGGAAAATGGTTATATTTGTTCAGGCTCTTATTTATTTCAGCAAATATAATTTACAAGATATATAGCATGATATCGTTACTGAAATATTGCTTTGTTTTTACAGGTGTTTAGAGAAGAAAGTGTTCCAAGGTCTTGCCCAAGAAGCGATTTCGCTCTGCGTCCAAAGCATAGACAGTGCGGCCAAGCAAATATCAGCCACACAAACCAACATAGACGGGCAGTTATTCCAAATCAAGCATTTACTTATTTTAAGAGAACAGATCGCGCCATTCCAAGTAGATTTTATAGTGAAAGAAACTACTCTAGACTTCAGTAACGTGAAAAATGCAGCGTATGGATTGATAAAGAAGCCCCGTCAGATATTTTCTCTGAACAGCAACAATGCTTTGTTAGAGTTCCTTCTGGAAGGAACGCCGATGGTGAGGGAACATCTTCTGGATTCGAGGAAGGAGGTGGATAGGCAGTTGAAAGCGTGTTGTGAAACGTTTATAAAGGAAGCCACGGAATTGCTGGCGGGACCGATGATTAGTTTTATTGAAAAGGTTTGTTATGTTTTTTATCATCAAATCCTACCATGTACTATCGGCGACAGTTCCAGCTACCCATTTCCAATCATGTCGTCTCGTTCTATCGCAAAGAATCATCATTAGATGAGAGTGAGAGAAAAAACAGAAATGAGTAGCTGAAACTGTAGCCGATAGTACTACTATTCAACGAAACAGGTATTAAATAAAAAATAAACAATACAGTAAATTGTTATGGGATTAAATTTTTGAAATTAATCATTTAATATAATCTAATGCTGCTAACTTACTTATGAGAATATTTATAGAACCCCTAGGAAATAAATAAGCAATAACTTCGTGATGTTTTAACATAACTTTTTGTATTGAAAATACAACGTAAAAGCATCCAAATGAGGTTCAGACACGAACCTGTGTTGATTCAGGAAATATAATTTATCTTGGTCTATCCAACTTTCCAGGCCCAAATAAATAAGCAATAACTTCGTGATTTTTTAACATAACTTTTTGTATTGAAAATACAACGTAAAAGCATCCAAATGAGGTTCAGACACGAATTTGTGTTGATTCAGGAAATATAATTTATCTTGGTCTATCCGACTTTCCAGGCCCAAATAAATAAGCAATAACTTCGTGATGTTTAACATAACTTTTTGTATTGAAAATACAACGTAAAAGCATCCAAATGAGGTTCAGACACGAACCTGTGTTGATTCAGGAAATATTTTAAATTATCTTGGTCTGTCTATCCCACTTTCCAGGCCCAAGCCTTCACCCCCGTAGAGCAGCTGAAGTCCCAACCGTGGGCGACTCCCGAGGAGACGGCAGTATGCGTCAAGGAAGCTCAGAAGAGGATCAAGGCCCACCTGGCTCCCCTGCAGAGGTCCATGCAGCTGTATCTGGCCAATAAGGAAACGGAGTTTATACTGTTCAGGCCTATAAGGGTTTGTTACTATTCTTACTATGGTTTAGGTTTAGGTTAGGTTTAGATAAGAAAAGTTCAAAATACGAATTGCGCCTACACAAAATAAAGATCTCTATAGAGTATAGAGAGAAGATATTTGGCCGTATTCACCATCAATCCCTAATTTTAAAGTGACCCATTTGAAAACAAAATTCCTGTTATTTGGGTGCAGTCCNGGATTAAATTTTTGAAATTAATCTTTTCATATTATCTCATGCTGCTAACTTACTCATGGGAATATTTATAGAACCCCTAGAAGATAAATAAACGATAACTCTCATGATTTTTTTATAACGTAACTTCTTGTTCTGAAAATACAACGTAAATGCATCCAAATGAGGTTCAGACACGAACCTGTGTTGATTCAGGAAATATTTTAAATTATCTTGGTCTGTCTATCCCACTTTCCAGGCCCAAGCCTTCACCCCCATAGAGCAGCTGAAGTCCCAACCGTGGGCCACGCCCGAGGAGACAGCAGTATGCGTGAAAGAAGCGCAGAAGAGGATCAAGGCCCACCTGGCTCCCCTGCAGAGGTCCATGCAGCTGTATCTGGCCAATAAGGAAACGGAGTTTATACTGTTCCGGCCTATCAGGGTATGTTATGACTTTACTTTTTGAAATCTGTAGTTTTACTTTTTTTTCCGACTGCATCTATGCTTCTAGAAATTGTATGAAAACGAATACTGGTGCGGCAAGTGCGCCACAGTGATGCCACTGCAGTTTTTTCACGCTTACAATTTGAAGGCACCGTAAAAATGATCTTTTGCATTTATTATAGTTTATAGTTCAAAATTCATTCAATTCATTCCTTTATTATCCTACCTACTACCTTTACTTTTTTATCAGATTCATAAATATTTCAAATTATTGTGCAACATGGTCGACATTATCCAGCTAAACTATTCTATGCCACATTTAGTAGTACCACAGAATAATAATAAGTACTACCAGTAGTACTGATTACACTATACCTATAAGATACCATAATTGTTATTATATTTATATTTGCTTACCCAAAGTATAATCTCTGAAATGTCTCCCTTCCAGAACAACGTAGTCGGCTACTTCGTCCAAATAGAGCAACTACTCCAAAGCGCCGGCTATTCCTACGAGGACCTGCTCATAGTAGCGTGCCCCACGCCAGAACAAGTATCAGTCTTCATTTCCTCCGCTAGCCTGGTCAGTCGCGGCGAACCGGTCGCGCCTTACGGCAAGAAGAGACGCACTTCTGCTGTGAGAAAGCCGAGCGTCACGCGCGTGCCTGAGACAGAGGTCGCTGAAAGTACCGTTGCTAGTGTATGATTTGTTTTAACGCAATTACGTTCCGTTATCATTTGGTGCATTGGGTTAGACTAAATATTGAAATTCAGCCAATAAGAAAGGAAGATTATTTACCAATACAGGTGTCCTGAACACAGGAACACAGCATCATCAACAATGTAAACCATATAATTCTATTCCGAAAATCACAGGCCTTATGTTTGTGTTTTAATCAATTTTATAAGTATGTAATTTTAGGGAAGAATATTTATTTAGTTTCATTAACATAATATTGTTTTCCTTTTAGTGAGGACAACTCAATACAGAATGATAAAATTATGGTTTTAAATGCACTTATGGTGCTTGTGTAAATATTAAGTTAAGGATGAATGTATAATCTAATAATGTAATTTAGTAAATAAAAGAAATATTTATTGCAACAACTAAAATATCTTTCATTATGTAAACAATAATATTATTTTACTGATAAAGAAATATTTATTGCAACAACTAAAATATCTTTCATTATGTAAACAATAATATAATATCCATACAGGTTTTGGCATACAAAATAATAGACATTTAAAAAAAATCTAAGGTTTATTTATGTACACATTTTCAATCACTTGAATAAATACACATCCATGAAACACCAAAAACATTGTGTTTTATATCAATAAAACTACAGAAATTGGTTGAGTTGTTTAATGTTCGATCTTAATTGATTTAAATATTGTTTCTAAAAGTATACTATTAAATTATTTAAGCCCTAAGCCAGTACATTCCAGCGCGGAGTCGTGTGTAGTCTGGGAGACCTTCAGTGGGTCCAACGGCAGCGACAGCTGGACAGCGGTCGTACAAGTATTTGTAGCAAACATCACGGACATTCTGGGCAGTGACACTGCTGATGCGAGCATCAAGCTCATGAATTGGGATACGGCGGTTGTAGCACAGCATTTGGCGACCGATGTCTTCGCAGATGGGTGTGGTGCCATCGAGCTGCAGGAGCATGTTGGTCTTCAATAGGTTCTTTGCGCGCTCAACCTCACCCTCAGTGACTGACGTACAAAGCTTCATCCATTCCTTCTGAATGTTGTAAACCATGTCTTCAATCTGCAAAGGCTCTGACACAAAGTAGATTCCCCAGAGTCCGGTATCCTTGTAGCAGGTGTTGAACGACTGGAAGCTGTGGCAGAGGTTCTCAATGGCCGAGGCGCGGGCGAGGTAGGAAGCGTTGTTGCCGCCACCACCCTGAGAGCGGTCCCAGGCACCGACTAGAGTGTTGGCTACCATCAGGGGAATGTTGTCAGCGTCAGTCCAGCCGGCACCTTCAACGGCGATGGCGATGTGCGCCAGAGGCATGGAGTCATCACGGACACGGATTTCAGAGCCAGTGTAACGGCACGGCGCAAGGTCGGGGATGTCCATGGCAGTGTTCTTGAGACTGCTGAAGTGCTTGTTAGCCAGGTCTACAAGCTTCTGGTGTTCAACACCACCGGCACCAGACAGCACAATGCGGGCGGGCTGGTAGTGAGTCTTGATGTAGGTCTGAAGGTCAGCTTTGGAGATTTTCTTAATGTTCTTGGTGGGTCCAAGGATGGTCTGGCCTAGTGGGGTGCCTTGGAAAGCGGTCGCGTGCAGGTGGTCAAACACAACCTCTTGAAGGTTGCTCTCGACGTCCTGCATTTCGCGGAGGATCACACCTCGTTCTCGTTCGATTTCGGGTTCAGCGAGTGACGAGTTCTGGATAATGTCTGCAAGGATTTCGACGGCGGCTGGGACGTCGTTGGCGAGGCACTTGGCGTAGAAGACGGTCTGCTCCCGGGATGTGTACGCGTTAAGATGGGCTCCCATGTTTTCGACGAGAAGTTCTAGATCGGTTTGGGACCTTTTACTCGTGCCTTTGAAAGCCATGTGTTCGAGGAAATGCGCAACACCATTGTTCTTGGCGGTTTCGTACCTCGAGCCAGCGTCGATCCAGAGGCCGACTGTGGCTGTGGCGGCGCCGGAGTCTTCGGAGGCAACGCGGATACCATTATCGAGGACTGTCAGCCTTGTCGGTGGTACGTTGACCAGCGCCTGCTTGTATCCGACGGCCGTCGCTAAGCATCTTACCTGATTGCCCTGTTTTGAGACTAATTTCAAAGTAGTTGCTACTTTCAGCATTTTGTATTGATCCTTGCACCACTTAATATAAAATTTTACTCGCTGTTTTACGTAATATTTTACAGGCAATAGAGACTCGAGCTGTCAAAAATGGTAGAAAAGTGTTTTTTTTTGGCAGAAAAATCCTTGCCAGTATACTAGCTATAAAAAAATGAGTTAAAAAACTTTGTTAAAACAACTTTGCTTCATTCTAAAACCAATTCTACGTTATAAGGAATATAAGGCTTACCTAGAAAATCAACCGCTTCATAATTTATTTGCTTGCAGTTTGCAGTTGCTTCAGTCTTATTACTGCGATTAATAAATGCAAGAATCTACTATTGTCTCTTGTATTTTAATTATTGCAACACCAACATTCTTGTCACGTCAAATTTATGTCCGAATAACTCTTAACGCAAATTTTGCTTAGAGAAAAAAACAACAATTAAAATCTTACATAAAATAATGAACAATGAAACGCTTTGCTTTGTTTAATTTATTTAGAAATTCAGGTTATTTCAATGATTGTATAAATTTATTTAAATTAAATGATTCGGACTGCTCTGCGAATTATTATCTGTGACTCTTGCGTCATCCTGTAACGTTCCGTTCTACACGTATTCAAAAATATTTTTTTAATCATTTCGGCATTTTTTTATTAAATCAAAGTAATAGTACTAGTGATAAATAGATTTAAAAATTTATTGATTATAGTATAAAATTTTTGTTTAAATTGTACAAATAAAGCTTTGTATATTTTTATGTGAATAATATACAAAAAAATNGGTATACGACTGTACTCAGTGTTGCACTATCAAATGCGATTGACGCGCCTCTATGCCAGGGTTTTTATGTTCCTGGTCAGGCTATAAAACAACTTTGCTTCATCATTCTAAAACAAATTCTACGTTATATGGAATATAAGGCTTAACTAGAAAATCAACTGCTTCTTAATTTATTTGCTTGAGCAGTTGTTTCACTCTTATTACTGCGATGAATAAATGCAAGAATCTACTATTGTCTCCTGTATTTTCATTATTGCAACACCGACAAAAATTGTCACACGTCAAATTAATGTCCGAATAACTCGCAAATTTTGCTTAGAGAAAAAAACAACAATTAAAAACTTACATAAAATAATGAACAACTGAAACGCTTGGGTTTGTTTAATTTATTGATAATTTCAGGTTATTCCAATGATTATCTAAATTTATTTAAATTAAATGATTCGGACTGCTATGCGAATTATTATCTGTGACTCTTGCGTCATCGAGTAACGTTTCGTTCTACACGTATTCAAAAATATATTTTTAATAATTTTGGCAATTTTTCATTTAAATCAAAGTAATAGTACTAGTGAGTGATAAATATATTTAAAAATTTATTGATATAGTATAAGATTTTTGTTTAAATTGTACAAATAAGGCTTTGTATATTTTTATGTGGATAATATAGAAAAAAATCAATATCTGCCTCTTATAACGGAACGTATACCTCGTTGATGGAAGAAATCATTCATTTCCATTCATTTTATCGCACGTAATTTCGTGAAAATAACACGGGAGCAATATGTGTAGTGGCAAGTTTATAATATTAAATTTTGTTAAAGACTTTTGGGATAGCGTGTGCCGGTAGATAGTGGATCGTTAATTTGTTACCGCAAGATGCTATTCAAAATTTTGTCTGTGATTTAGTAAATTCGTCATGACTACAATGAAGAATCCAAATTCATCGTCTACTAAGTTAGCTGCGCTCCTCAGCCACGTCAAATACGAGCACCTGGTAGCTGGTATATCAGGTGGCGTGACTTCTACATTGATTTTGCACCCTTTGGACCTCATAAAAATTAGATTCGCTGGTGAGTTTTTTTGTCATTTTGTATTTTTAAATACCATGTGAGTGCAGTCTCGTGATTAGAAGGTTGAAACAATGGAGCGTTTGTGATATTATTGTGTTTATATAATGTATAGATCAATACAGTAGGAAGGATGGCTGAAGTCAACCTTGAACTTCAAAGTGAAAGTAGACTGTAGAGTGCTGACTATACTTTGTTTACATTGTCATCTGTGATGCCACAGCTAGTGTTATTGCAACATAAATAGCTACTTTATTAGTAAGAAACTTGAATTATAATAACAAATTACTGATTACCATAATCAGTAACATTTAATGAAATTTCATCATAAAATAAATACCACTTTCTTAACATTCTTAACTCCTCTAAAAGACCATCTTTACTCAAGACTTTAGATAGTATTCTGACTGCTATTTGAATGATTTTATTAGATAACTAGATAGTTATCTTTTAGTAATAAATACTTTTTTACTTTTACTTACTTTACTAGATTAAGTTTTAGTGTCTCTCTAACTTTAACACGAGATGAAAATGTGACTATGATCAGTAGCCATACCATCTGTCTTCTGTGGTATTTTATGTTCATGTGTCGTAACCAGCATTGGAAGTTTACTGTCAGTTATTCAAGGTGTTGATTTCTTCATCCTGGTTATGCAAATGTTAAATACCACACTAACACCATGCCATATTACTGAGTACATAAATAATAAACTTGCTTGTCATGTTATTCTTTACACCATGTCTTTTAGTTAAGTTTTAAAGTTTATAAATACATTTATATTTTACATACATTCTAACATCAACTAGTATTTGGTCTTAGTTTATCTGTCTAATGCAATAGTAATGATAGTTTGCATTAGAGATAAAAATACCATAATATTATAGTATTTACATAATAATTATGTATCTACATGTTACTATATCACAAACGGGAATAAATACCATTTTTCTTTAATTTGGCAGATGCAACAATGACTTTTTGGCAAACTGATGATTTTATGAATTTGTTCACAAGTCTAAATGAAACTTGACCAATATGCCACTAATGGGCCATTTGAAATAAGTAATATACCATTTGAGATCCATTTGTAATGAGAACACTTACATTGTTTCAAAATCTTTTAACAACTCATTATGCTTTTGATGAATCACATATTTTAGTCTTTGTTTAATTGCTTTCAATGTTTTTCAACACATGAGTAAAATACATAGTTATTTATAAATGACTAACTTCATTTTATTTATCCTGCAGTGTGGTCAAATATAATTTTCTCTTCTTCACCATGATTATGGAAAATTTCATTTATGATTTTTGGTAACTTGTATGTTACTTCAAATCTAGCATAAATGATACACCACACACTATTTATAGAAAATCTCTGAAAGATTGAAATGTTTTTATGTTTATCTTTGTGTTAGACAACTGCTGGTTTATTGTCAGAACTTCCATGTTTGTTGACATACCTACCTAAATTTTTATGAAGACACTAATAAAATAATGTCTTAGATAGTTTTTTACTGAATAATATACTATATAGATGCCATACTATTTAGCTCCTAAATGTTATACCAAAACTTTTGCCTGATGTGCCAACGCTTCTGAGAAACATTATTATTGTATTAGTTTTTTTACCCTGTTTTATTAAAACTAATTTGTTTCCAGTAAACGACGGCAGGACCGCGACAGTGCCGAGATACGATGGGCTGGGCAGCGCATTTGTTACAATAGTTAAGAAGGAGGGCTTCCGCGGACTGTATCGGGGTGTGACCCCGAACGTCTGGGGCTCCGGATCGGCGTGGGGTTTCTATTTTTTATTGTAAGTATTATTTTCTACAATACAGTTTCTTATGATATTGAATGAGTCGTGCTTGAGTCTTTAAAAAATCTTAACAATGAAAATTGAAAAACAATAACTAAATGATTGATTGGGCAATGAAAAGCTTTGAAATGGCCTACGAAAAACTCAACATTTAAAAGCTTTTTGACAAAAAATATCTCAATAGTAAATTGAGAGATTTTTGACAAACTTGTTATGATGAGTGTTAAGTTAAAATATTTAATGCTCCATCATAAAGATGTCCATAAATCATTTTATTAAGTGTAATAATTTATTATCTTATGAAGATTAATTCTAGGTATATTACATAGCTCTTATAACACTCTTATTTGGGACTGCCCAAATCTCACTCAATAAGTGTTTTATATTCCCTGAGAAACATCCAGTAAAGATAAACTAATCTCGACGTAATATTAAACAAATGAGATAAAATACGATAATAGAGCACACCCTCGAACAAACGCACTATATGAAAATATTAATTTCACTTATTATTACGTCACAGGTCATTATCAGATAATTATTTTAGTGTTGTTATTAAAATACATTAGCTGTGTTATTGTCAACTATTAAAAATCACACACATCATGAAGAAAGCTAATTTGTGTAATTTATTTTCTAATGAATAATTTAATTATAATGAAGAATAATGCAGTTTTACTGGTATATGTATGTGTGTCAACGATTTATATTTTCTACTAATAACACACACTTTTGCCTACTTAGATATAACTTAACATCTTGGTGTGTAATTTTTAAGCATGGCTCAAAAATAAAGAAGCACTTTGTGTTAATTTTGCATATTCTTTCTATTAATATAAAAGAGGAAACTGATGCAGACTGATTGAAGTCATGTGACGCCGATATGCATTTGTATATTTTTATTCAAAACGAGAAATAAGAAGTAGCTTTGCAAAACCGCAGTCAATGGGACGAGTCGTCGATGTGACGTCAAGTCTACTTCGGTGGTAGATGAATTAAGTACTGAAGCATCGAAGTAAGGTTCTCTTCAACTCGGGTAATTTTCAACAACGCCGTCGCCTGACGGATTTGCTGAGAGTCGCTGCTTTCTCATGTTTTAGACTGTTTTCCTCAGAAATGTTTTATAAATAATATCAATAAAAAACCCTTACTTTTCCGTAGCTACAACGCAATAAAGACATGGATACAAGGCGGGAACGCGCGGACTCCCGTCGGTCCCGGCCTGCACATGCTAGCGGCGGCCGAAGCCGATGTTCTCAGTTTTTATTTCGTTCGAAAATTGATATAAAATGGCAAAGGCAAAACCATTATTCTTCTTTTACGCTTCTTTAAGAACGCAATAGAGCGGGATCGCTCGGACCCTCCTTGGTTTTTGTGCCTCGGTTCCGTCCTTCACATGCTAGTGGCAGCAGAAGCCGGTGTTCTGTCTTATTTCGTTCAAAAATCGTCAAAAAATGGCAAAGGCAAAACAGCATTCTTCTTTTTTTCACAGCTACAACGCAATAAAGACATGGATACAAGGCGGGAACGCGCGGACTCCCCTCGGTCCTGGTCTGCACATGCTAGCGGCGGCCGAAGCCGGTGTTCTCTCGCTGCTGATGACCAACCCCATCTGGGTCGTGAAGACCCGCCTCTGTCTCCAGTACAGCGAGGAGCACTTGACGGATAACAAGCGGTATAAGGGCATGGTGGACGGCCTGACCAAGATCTATAGGACTGAGGGCATTAGAGGACTATATAGGGTGAGTAAACTTGTCTACTTTTGTTTGAACTACTATTACGTTCCTACTATTATCTTTCTTAGATGTGCAGTCACAATATGATGAAATCTATGATCAGCAATGTGATTGATATGACTCAATCAGCATGACGTCCTACTCCGAATTTCGCAATCATATTATTTTCGGGTAATCGCGCTAATTTAAAACCTTAATAGCGTATCCAAATATGGGAATAATTATATAAAGCTTTTTACACTAGATTCCTGGGAATTAAACCTAGGACCTGAACCTGAGTCGATAGATTCTCTGAAGTTATATGCTATGCTTAACTCTATGTGAGATTGTCCAAAGATATTTATTTAAAATTTCCATTTGATACTGAAGTGTAGACGATAATTTAAACCTGGTCCGCATTAGCTAAGGTAGCAGCGCATGCGTTTTTTCTTAATCATAGCATGAATATGAACTTTGTCTTCAAACCCAAAGTCTATAAGAAATGTTTTCTAGCAATGACGTTCTTTTTTTCGCATGCGGCATTAAGACCTAACGGTTCCATAAATTAATGGCGGCAGCTGTGTACAAACAGCGCGCAAATCACCTATTCTTAGCGGTCATGCGCTTGCTCAGGTTACGCGATCACTTCCAAGAATGAAGAACGACCCATATTTGTAGGCTACTTCGCTTTGGGTAGCACTTTTCTTCTAAGTGTATTCTAAAGTTAGGGAAAGAGAGAGCCTGGTCTAGTTTAATGCTAGTTTATGACCATAGTATGACTACCAGCAACTACCCGTGGATGTCGTCGTGAATATGCGATCATCAGGCCTCCCCCCAACCCGTCTAGTAGGGGAATTGGGGAATGTATGTCAAATTCTCCCTTACGGGACTATTCCTATCTTTCGTTCCCGCCGCTGCAACTCCTGTGTAGCCAGGGTCTACAGCCGGACTTGTGGCTGCACTGCCAATAAAAACCCAACCAGTGAAGGTTACATCCTCCTTTTTGTCTCTTGTAAATGAACTCATGTTTAGGATCGGTTTAGCCATGCGAGCAGGAAGCAAATTGGGAGAATAGTATAATTACTTCGTGACACCGACACTGTTTACCGGATATACGTACTTTTTGGGCATATCAGACATGCTTGGTTAAAATAACTACATAAGTTGCCATAGTGCTCTGCTATGCCATCGCCCGTTCCTGAAAGAAACTTAAAAGACTTCATTTAAGGTTTTTTTTTGTGTTTTGACTGCTTTTATAAGGCTTTATAGAAAAATTTAGAACATTACTAGTCTATATCTCGTACATATTGTCAATAAGTGCAATGTGCAAAATCCCAATGTTGATACAAATGCATGTGTGTTTAGCATTAGTTATCATATCCAATGTTTGCGATCCTTTAAGCTAAACTCGCCAAGTGTTTGGCTTGGTCATTGAAACTATAATATTATCACGATCGCCGAAGCAAATCTCGAGTAGTTTTTATCTTGAATAGACATCTTTTATCTAATATCTTTTAAAACAATGGAAATAGTTTCATTTGATAATAAATAACGTAATGTCAACATTATCATTCTTTAATATTACAGGTTTTCGTAATCAGACGTGACGTAAGCACTACGAGTATGTCACGTTTATTTTTGCAAAAATCATAACACAGTTGACACTACTGTTCTGATATCTATAGATAAAAATGACTGCGTTGTCAAATTAACGAATTGATCGATTATTCGATAAACTGGATAGGTTACATAAAATGTGTTGTGAACTTGAAATGCAATGTCTTTCTCTTTGTTTATAGCCAATTCAGATTTAAGATAGTATGAATCCATCTTAGAGAGCATGGAAGAAATTCCTAATTGACTAAATTGTTGCCTTTATTAGGTAGGTAATTAATTTATGATTACATCTAATATTAATTCTGATATTCTAATTCAAACTAACTGCTGAATTCATAATTTTATAACAACTTTCCTTTAAGACTCGATTAAACTCGAATTACTTATAATACAACAACCATATTATTAATCAACCAATTGATAAAGCAGTGGTTCAAAGTTTAGAGATAAATGCTTTGAAGTTCAATCACTTGACTAGTTATTATTCCACGAAAGACACGCCCATCGATCGAAAAACTCGTATCTATCGCTAGCTGCGCCCACGACTTCGTACGCGTGAAAATAGTTTGAATAATATTTCCCGTTTTTGCCAATGACATATTATATAAAAACATCTTAGGTTTTTGCAACATTTTTCTTTACTGCTCCGCCCCTATTGGCTGTAGGGCAGTGGTTCTTAACCTTTAAGTCACGAGGGACCATTTTACCAAATTTCTGTCTTGTCAGGGACCACCTCATAATCGGTCAAAACCAGTTTGACTGTAAAAATCAGTTAAAAATGGTTTTGACCAAGGTGTGCAAGTGCACTTCGTGGACCACTTGGAATGCCTCCAGAGACCACCAGTGGTCCGCGGACCACCGGTTAAGAACCACTGCTGTAGGGTGATGTACTTCTTGAAATTAGCGCGTTCAAGCAAATAACCAAACTCTTCAGCTTTATAATAAGTAGAGATTACTATCTACAGGGTGTTAGGTAAATGGGTATATGAGCCGACACTAGCCCATGTTAACATGGTCATATAAATGGTATGGTGAAGTCAGAAAATTGATATCTTCATTTTAATTATTTTAATTTCCATACAAATCGGATTTTATAAAAATTATTTTGTATGAAATATAAAAAATTAAAATGATGATATCAAATTTCTGACTTCACCATACCATTTGCCTATATATGTGTCGGCTCATATACCCATTTACCTAACACCCTGTATCTATTACAAATAATAGATGTTATTTTTCAACAAAAATTAAAAGTGACGGTCGACTGTACATTATGCCATGGCATAGAAATGATTCATATAAAATTTTAATTGAAACTTTTCTCTAATTTAACAGCTGTATAGTTTCCAGTGGAAATAATTGTTTGTTTCAATGACTAGAACGCAACGCCTTCCGGTCTGCCTTGACCTGACGATAATATAGGCTTATTGAGCTAGTTTCAGCCCGTGGCTTTATCCGTGTTAGTAGGTATGTCACAGAAAGTATTTTCAAATTTAATATTTATTACTCAGACTACAGTATTAATGGTTTTTTTTTCAGCAAGTAAATGTGTTTTCATCCATATTGGTTCAGTGGTTTAGTCGTGAAAATGTGACACAGACAGATCTATCTTCGCATTTATATGTCCCTATTTTATGATTACGTATGTTATTTGCACTTAAATGTTAAAATTTTTATTTAAAGCCTACCGTTTTATTAGTAAACATTTCAAAGTTCAGAAGTTTAATTACAGTTTTGAGACGGAACCAGTTAAATTGTTATGATATTATAAATATGTATAGCAATATAATTAATGATAACAGTGGATATAATATTTACTTACTTCTGCATATCAGTCAGAGTTCAAATAATAAGTGTTTGGAATGCAACACACAATACAATTACGTAAGTCAACCGCGAAGTGATTTAGTTTATTATTATGCCAATCACCTACCTAATGGTTTGTTAATTAGGTGACTGCCCTTTGTGATAGGTACTGTTCCACTTTTAAAACTTAATTAATTATTCATTAAAATATAGTCAGCGTTACTTGACACAGATTTGTCTATGCCCTTAGTGACGTATACGTAAGCATGTCTAAACATAATTTTAATTGAAAATTGAAATGTTGAGATCATTGTGACAGGTTTTTAAAATTCTTATGTTTGTCTGATTAATTTCAATGCGGGTCCAATGACAGTTTAACTTTACCCCGAGACAAACTTGCGCTTCACTGGTTGTGTTTTTATTGGCGGTCAAGCTTTAGATCCTGGCTACTCAGNCGAAGTTATCCATGAAGCTATAGATAAAAATGGAGGCCCCACTCCGAATACCTACTTGAAGCACAACCTTTGTATCACTATCTCGCTCTCTGTGGGCAGACTCTCTCTTTCTAAATAAACAAAAAATATAAATTTGCTCAATACTACAGTTCACACTAAAAAGAGAGGTAGGGCCACAGGGAGCGAGATAGATGTAAGTAGGTATTTGACTCAAGTTTTTGTTCCAAGTTTGCCCTCCATTTTTATCTTTAGCTTCATGAAGTTATCGCTGGAAAACTAAACAAAGTATCGTATAATATTTTTTATTTAAAATTAATCAGTAATCGGAATAAGTGAATACTTACAATAATATCGATTAAATTTACAGATTATTGTCTATGACTCACAGGTTACGGCACTGATGTGTCAGAGACAAGTCATAGACAATATGGAGATAACACATGATTTTAAACGTCAAGTCAATTTGACAATCTCACAAATTTTCATCGTCCACGTATTTTGCTAAAATAATTTGTTTCAAAGATTGATTTCAAACTTGTATAAACGTGAAAATAAAGTTGGTTTCATGGGCTTGTTAAATAATGTGTATGATATTATGAACACGTAAGTGATTATGGNTTCTCAATTCGGTATTTTTTAGAGTTTAATTATGAAAAAAGGGACTCAAGAAAACTTTACATAGAGTCGCAGTTTGCCGACCCCTGATCAACTAAATTTAAAAAATATCTCAATAAACAACACATGAGCTGTTAGTATCCTTCAAATACTTCCTTGTATAACAGATCTACAAAGACCGGTCCTGCGCCGCTCGTATCCAGGCATCTCCCGCGACCTTCAGCAGATCGTCGGTCATGTGAGAGGCCTGCCCACGCTACGTCTTCCGGCTCGTGGACCGGTCTTTGTGGAAATCCTTGGGGGAGGCCTTTGTCCAGCAGTGGACGTCTTTCGGCTGAAACGAACGAACGAATAACAGATCAATGTCGTTCTTTCTTCCAGCTACGCATCGCTCCTCTCAGACATCAAACGCGAGTACGCAACGCGCCGCGCTCGCGTCGCCGGCGCGCCCACCGCTGCAGCGCTTAGTGCAGCCGCTGCGAAGCATCAGCGCGATCATTGCACGTTAGCGCGCGCCGCGTGTTCGTTACTCGCGCACGCGTGCAGAGACGAATGCGCGTTGTACTCGCATCTGTTTGCGAAAGTGTCGCCGGAGCTTGAGTGAGTACTTTAGACTAAGCCTGGTCCGTGAGCCCGTAGAATTTGCGAGTGTGCGAGCGCGACAGCAATATAATTACACGCGAGCGATAAGGATGGGTAGCTTGGGGTCATTGGACAAAATTCTACGTGCTCACGGACCAGGCTTTAGTTTTAGCAGTAGTATAGATAGGTACCAGTCTTCACTACTTTGACATGACAACAAAATTCTTGTTAAATGTTACTATAGGGGTCACTTAAAAATTAGGAATTGATGGTGAAAACACGCATAAGTAGTTTAGGCAGTATCGCCTACCGCTGCTGCGTTTAGCGCGGCCGCCGCGAAGCATCAGCGCGATCACTGTACATTAGCGCGCGCCGCGTGTTCGTTACTCGCGCACGCGTGCAGAGACGAATGCGCGTTGTACTCGCATCTGTTCGCGAAAGTCTCGCCAGAACTCGAGTGAGTACTTTAGACTAGTTTTAGCAGCAGTAGTATAAGATAGGTACCAGTATCCACTACTTTAGGCACCAGTGTCTAAGTAGTTTCAGCAGTAGCGCCCACCGCTACTGCGTTCAGTGCGGCCGCCGCGAAGCACCAACGCGATCATTGCACGTTAGCACGAGCCGCGTGTTCGTTACTCGCGCACGCGTGCAGAGACGAATGCGCGTTGTACTCGCATCTGTTTGCGAAAGTGTCGCCGGAACTTGAGTGAGTACTTTAGACTAAGCCTGGTCCGTGAGCACGTAGAATTTTGTCCAATGACCCCAAGCTACCCATCCTTATCGCTCGCGTGTAATTATATTGCTGTCGCGACTGTGTGACGGGCGCCCGCAGTGAGTGTGCGAGCATACCTTCGAGAAATTCTACGTGCTCACGGACCAGCTTTAGTTTTAGCAGTAGTATAGATAGGTACCAGTGTTCACTACTTTAGGCACAAGTGTCTAATGCCGGTTTTCACCATCAATCCCTAATTTCTAAGTGACCCCTATGACAACAAAATTCTTGTTAAATGTTACTATAGGGGTCACTTAAAAATTAGGAATTGATGGTGAAAACACGCATAAGTAGTTTAGGCAGAAGCCCTCACCGCCGCTGCGCTTAGTGCGGCCGCCGCGAAGCATCAACGCGATCATTGCACGTTAGCACGAGCCGCGTGTTCGTTACTCGCGCACGCGTGTAGAGACGAATGCGCGTTGTACTCGCATCTGTTTGCGAAAGTGTCGCCGGAGCTTGAGTAAGTATTTAGGCACTAGTTGTAGTAGTATAGTTAGGCACCAGTGTCCACTACTTTAGGCACCAGTGTCTAAGTAGTTTAGGCAGTAGCTCCCACCGCTGCTGCGCTTAGTGCAACCGCGAAGCATCAACGCGATCATTGCACGTTAGCGCGCGCCGCGTGTTCGTTACTCGCGCACGCGTGTAGAGACGAATGCGCGTTGTACTCGCATCTGTTTGCGAAAGTGTCGCCAGAACTCGAGTAAGTAATTTAGGCACTAGTTGTAGTAGTATAGGTAGGTACAGAACCACTACTTTAGGCACCAGTGTCTAAGTAGTTTAGGCGGTAGTCCCCACCGCCTCAGCCGCCGCGAAGCATCAACGCGATCATTGTATCGCTGCTCGCGCATGCGTGCCGAGACGAGAGTAATTTAGGAACAGTGTCCATTGGCTTTAGATGTGTGGAATAGCAACAAAAATTATTGTTTTAGTAGTATAGATAGGTCCACTACTTTAGGCACCAGTGTCTAAGTAGTTTAGGTAGTAGTCCACACCGTCTCAGTCGCTGAGACGAGAGTAGTTTAGGCACAGTATCCACTGGCTTTAGGCATTAGTGTCTATTTACTTTAGGCACTTCAAGCTCTGGATTCAACTACTTTAGGTACTATACTAGTGACCACAGTTTTATGCTGCAGCGGCGCGTTTATTGCCATACGCGTTTATGGCTACGTAGGTCAAAATCAAACCTAAAGCTGCCACCCTTGGGTGTGGAGCGAGGTGTTGGAGCGGTGAGCGACATACAAATCCACCAATAGAATTGCATAAAATCGTCGCTGTTCTTCAGTGGACAGGGACTTGCAAACTATTTAAAAATACATACAAAACCAGTTCTATCATTATCTGTAGTATAATAAATTAGATTTATTTAGACATGTGTCCCTCGCTCTTGCAGGGAATACCTGCAGTCGCTTTGCAACGGTCTTTACGAGACGCTGCGGCCGCACATCATCCACATCGTCCACCTGGAGACCCTGGCCGAGCTGTGTGTCATCCTGCGCGTCGAGATCATCGAGGAGCAGGTCAATAACGACCGTGAGTGTTCTATTCGATCAAATTCGTTATTTTTTGGCACAAATTATACAGGTTTCTGCCTTACACCGCCAGCTCGAGCAATTAGCCAGTGATCAACATCACGGCCTCCTACTAGGTGGACCGACGATCTCGTAAAGGTCGCGGGAAGAGCCTGGATGCGGGCAGCGCAGGACCGTGCATTGTAGAAAACCTTGGAGGAGGCCTTTGTCCAGCAGTGGACGTCATTTGGCTGAACGAACGAACAACATCACGGACCGCTCTTGCAGTGATTAATACTTAGCATACTACTGTAGTTCCTATGCAATCGCAGCTTGAAGCTGTCCAAGCTATATTTATAGCGAATTAGCGGGCCTAGCCAATGTTGCGAGTAGTTACGAATCAAAACATGTTTTTATTTTTCGTCTTATCTTGGTCTGGTCTAGACATCTCACCTCATAGAAAGGCCGAAAGTGAAAGCGAGTTTCACCCGAAATCCTCAATCATAGAAGAATTGGCATTCTTATCTCCTATGGCCAATACACAAAAATGCGAGAACTGCCCAGAAACCTCGCGATTATCGCTGTGTCTGAACCAGGCCTAAATGACCTGATGCCAATGATTGAAAAATCATTTTTTCTGTGGTTTCCCAGCGAGCCTGAGCGCGCTAGGAGCGACTGCGCGCGCGCTCCTACAAGACGCGCAAGAGCGCCTCGTGTTCCGCGCGCACGTGCATTTGCGCGCCGACGTGCTGCACTACCGACCCGCGCCCGGCGACCTCGCCTACCCCGACAAGCTGGAGATGATGGAGGTAAGATGGAAAAGAGGAAGCTCCTCTCTTTCCTGAAGCACAAGTGTACCTCTCCTGCAGCACATGTGTCACTCTCCTAAAGCACAATTGTTCCTCTCCTGAAGCACATGTGTTCCTCTTCTGAAGCACATGTGTTCCTCTTCTGAAGCACGTGCGTTCCTTTCTTGAAGCACATGTGTTCCTCTGCTGAAGTACATACATGTGTTGTTTTTCTCCTGAAGCACATGTGTTCCTCTCCTGTAGCACATGTGTTTCTCTCATGAAGCACATGTGTTGTTTTCCTGCGTCATAGCTATAGTGTACCTCTCTGTTTGTTTTTTGTGTTTTTATCTACTGTGAAGATAAATCGCTTTATTTTTAGACAGATGAACGAATACTTCCATGAATTTCTCAATAGATTATACATACAGATCTCTTCAATATAATAATAACAAAATCTATTGATTTGTTTCCAGCAAATCGCGCTCTCAATCCAAGAGCAGAGCCTCAAACGGAGCGATTCCCGCAATTCCATGGTGTCAGACATTTCTGCGACGTCACAAGAAGTGGCTAATATCAACGTGGAGGCTCAAAGACGGCCGCAGGCGTCGCCGGCCGATCTCCATGGCATGTGGTACCCGGGCGTTAGGAGGACGCTTGCAGCTCTATCCAGGCTGTACAGGTGATTATTTCTAAAGCCCGGTCTGTGAGCACGTAGAATTTAGTCCAATGACCCCAAGCTACCCATCCTTATCGCTCGCGAGTTATTATATTGCTGTCGCGACTGTGCGACGGGCGCCCGCAGTGAGTGTGCGAACGCGANGTGCCAACACTGGTTCAGAATAACTTAACTATGACTAAAACTGAGCAGGATAGATAGACCCAGGCAATTACTTTTTGACTATCTTGCTTTCACAGAATTGTGAGTTTTGTGATAGCGCACGGATTGTAGTACAAAAGGATAGGTAATTATTACATACTTGAGTTGTAAAGACCACAGGATACATCTTATTTAGTTTGTATTAAGGACTGTGTAATCGGATTTATCGGATGTGCTGTCATCAGGACATCGGGCAGTAACTAGTTTACCGCAGATACTTATGTAAGCCAGTCCTATTTTATGCAATCCATGTGCAACAAAAAACTAGGGCATTCACGTGCTCCCGCTCTACCTTCTAAGAAACCTTCCTGGTCTACTTTCTAAAGTGACCATGGAAACTGAGCAACCTTAGTACCGTGGAATAGGGGTGAAAATAAAGTAAATATTAAAATTATTGGAAACTGGTAGGCTCTGGAGATTTTATGACATGAAATAGGGGTGAAAATAATATTTAAAAAATATTCGTCGACATTTTGTACAATGCTGCGCCATCCAGAACCATACTAAGTAAAGTATTGCTACCAGACAACGGATATACACAATACACATCCTTGTTTTAAGGTCAATGTGCTGGTATGGAACGTAACCTTATTGGTTAGATATTTCCATATAGATATAGAGAGATGCCAACTAATGCGCTGAGTTCGAAACTTAGTGTCGCATTATAAACTGACACACACAAAGTAATCAAAATATGTGCTTATTATCCACTGCAGTATCAGTATTTAGTAGAATAATCTTTAGTACTACGCAAGCAATGTAAACTGTTTACATTATGACCTCTGCAGCAATGTGTTCTGTTTTTGGGCATATTGCTGCGACACTGGCCCCGCCCCCTTGTCACATCTCCCTTTAGTTTCTGTGATCTGTGGATATTTCCATACTACATTGATGATGATGTCCAAAAATCAATCATGCATGTTTTAAGATTAAGATAACACATCACATTCTGTGTTATGCAAGAGTCAGTAGGAATTCGGTGGAAGGTTAATATTGGTTTGCTTTATATTTGGGGTTTTTTCAGCTGACATGGGAGTTAATATTTTACGGTTTATACATCGCCGAAGAGCCGATACCATGATGTGTTCAGACATGAAAAACAACTTACAAGTTTGAAATAATATTTTTTGGTCATAACACAGATGTTATTTTGTCCAAAAATAAAAATATTTGTGTCATTTGCATAAATGCATAGAAAATACCGATCACGTGATATTGTTATCATATTTTATGTTAATTAGTCCACTCACTCGGTCTAATTATGCCAGATAGTGTTTTGTTCACTAAAAATAGGACGCAAACGCGTGTTCTATTCTTCGTTTTGTTTCGCTGCATGTAAAAATAATTTTAATTCTATATTGTCTCTATAAATAGGTACTAAAATGTCCACACATATTTAGTTATTTTCATTTACATATTACTTCCATACTTATCTACATATGGCGTTAGTCTGGAAGGCTAGACTAATTAAGTAGCTATTGTATTGGCCTTTGTACATGTATGAAAGGTGTTATTATTAGCTATTAGATTACTAGAGCTGTTAAATCAGTATGAACAAGTATGAAAGTGCGCACATTACACCGATTTAGTAACGGCCGATTCCTCATACAAATTCGAAGCCGGCCAAACTATCGGCCGGCTTAAGCCTAGGCGCAGACCACCGACTTTAAGTTGGCCGATAGTTGGGTTGGGCAGTAAATCAGTATGCACATGTATGGAAGTGCGCACATTACACCGATTTGGTATCGGCCGATTCTTCATACAAATTACAATCGGGCCCAACTATCGGCCGACTAAGGCCAGAACAGACGGTGAAACGCAACTGCTAGTTACTTTTGAGTTGCATCTAGGTTGCTGCAATAGCGTCCGTTGAGAGACCACACATGACGCGACCAGTTTAAAACTTTCAGTTTCAGTTTCATTCATCAGAATGTTGCAGTTTCGTTGCATTTGCGTTTCACCGTCTGTTCTGGGCCCAAAAGTCTGTAGTCTGTGGCGAGCCTATATCTTGTCTTAAGTTAATCTTAGATTTGTTACTCTCAAATAACTCTGAGTCTAATTAAAAACTCAATCAGGAATATTTAGGGCTGGTTTAATAAAACTTTTGGTTAAATAAATGGTGTATCTTTCCAGGGTTTCGTGCCAGGCATGTTCGGGGTGTCCCACGGCGCTCTGCAGTTCATGACATACGAGGAGATGAAGAATCGCTACAACCAGTACAGGAATCTGCCAATTGATATCAAATTGGTAATTAAATATATAATTACAATATACCTAGTCTGCCCAGACCGCTGACCGATTGCCCTTTCAAGATCTCGCTAACGTTCAGAAGTCGTCCCATTGAAAAGCAGTTCTAAATTCGTATTCACAAAAGTCATTTTGATAGAACTGGAACTACTCAATAGGATCGCATTCAGCGATTAGTTGTCGTTGAAGTTTTGTTACGTGAATAAGGCTACTACTGGTCGAGAATGTTGTTCATACATGGTGCGGGTTGCGTTAACTTTGACCTGACGGCAGACCGCATCTAGTGTCGCAAGGTTTAAAATATTAAGTATGCAAGTGAGAAAGCTTTCTCAAAACTCGAGTTAAGTAATTTGAATTTAAATATTCAGGTCAATCACAGACTTAAATAATTTATTGAACGTATATTCATTCACTTAGTATCAACCCTTTCAAACGAAGGTCTTACATTCAATTTTTACCATAAATATTTAAAATTTTCCCAAATAAGGATTTTAAATTATAATCAGCGAAATATCTAGTAAGAAATGCTTCTTGATTTATTGAAGATAAAACAGAATGCAGATAAATTAGCGTAGATTATTTATCCACTAATCGTTCTCTGATTACGTAAAATAAACCTAGCTTCAAAATAATTGTAATTAAAATCATGTTTCCCCATTAAACTACACTTACCACTTGCCAATAATGGCAAACGCGTTATCATAGCCATCTGTTATCAAAATATACACGTTTAATCTTGTTTGTATTAGAGATCAAATCCCTTTGTAGTAGCCTGGTATCAGGCTCTTATATGGGGAGATAACAGGGAAGTCCAAGGTTGAATAACATTGCATTTGCTTTAATATTATTTAAAATACAAACATGGGTTTCTTCTTCTGTACTTTTTATTCAATTACTTACGTTACATTTGTTTCTTGCTGAGAGTCAGATCCACCCAAATGTTTGTTGTGTGTCAGGTATTGTAAACAATAACNAATTATTTAGTGCGATGGCCAAGTCAATATATTTATGTAAAACGTTAAAGATTTCCTGGCCTGGACTTGGTATTACATGGATCTCACAACTTTTTACCGTAGAACAACTGAGTTGCGAGACTTGGTTTTTTTGACAAGTATTGTTTTTGATGGGATTTATATTTACACATTCTAACATCAACTAGTATTTGGTCTAAGTTTATCTGTCTAATTAAATAATAATGATAGTTTGCATTAAATAGATAAAAATACCATAATATTATGACCTAAAATATAATTGTAACTAAAGTACTAATAACCATTAAATACCACAATTTCAACATGTTCTTATTCATAAACAGGAATAAATACCATTTTCCTTTAATTTGGCAGATGCAACAATGACTTTTTGGCAAACTGATGATTTAATGAATTTGTTCACAAGTCTAAATGAAACTTGACCAATATGCCACTAATGGGCCATTTAAAATAAGTAATATACCATTTGAGATCAATTTGTAATGAGAACACTTACATTGTTTCAAAATCTTTTAACAACTCATTATGCTTTTGATGAATCACATATTTTAGTCTTTGTTTAATTGCCTTCAATGTTTTTCAACACATGAGTAAAATACATAGTTAATACATAGTTATTTATAAATGCTAACTTTATTTATCCTGCAGTGTGGTCAAATATAATTTGCTCTTGATCACCATGATTATGGAAAATTTCATTTATGATTTTTGGTAACTTGTATGTTACTTCAAATCTAGCATAAATTATACACCACACACTATTTATAGAAAATCTCTGAAAGATTGAAATGTTTTTATGTTTATTTTTGTGTTAGACAACTGCTGGTTTATTGTCAGAACTTCCATGTTTGTTGACATACCTACCTAAATTTTTATGAAGACACTAATAAAATAATGTCTTAGATAGTTTTTTACTGAATAATATACTATATAGATGCCATACTATTTAGCTCCTAAATGTTATACCAAAACTTTTGCCTGATGTGCCAACACTTCTGAGAAACATTATTATTGTATTAGTTTTTTTACCCTGTTTTAATTAAAACTAATTTGTTTCCAGTAAACGACGGCAGGACCGCGACAGTGCCGAGATACGATGGGCTGGGCAGCGCATTTGTTACAATAGTTAAGAAGGAGGGCTTCCGCGGACTGTATCGGGGTGTGACCCCGAACGTCTGGGGCTCCGGATCGGCGTGGGGTTTCTATTTTTTATTGTAAGTATTATTTTCTACAATACAGTTTCTTATTATATTGAATGAGTCGTGCTTGAGTCTTTAAAAAATCTTAACAATGAAAATTGAAAAACAATAACTAATTGATTGATTGGGCAATGAAAAGCTTTGAAATGGCCTACGAAAAACTCAACATTTAAAAGCTTTTTGACAAAAAATATCTCAATAGTAAATTGAGAGATTTTTGACAAACTTGTTATGATGAGTGTTAAGTTAAAATATTTAATGCTCCATCATAAAGAAAGATGTCCATAAATCATTTTATAAAGTGCAATATACCTAATATCTTATGAAGATTAACTCTAGTACATCATAGCTCTTATAAGATTTGCTTATTTGGGACTGCCCAAATCTCATTTAACAAGTGTTTTAGATTCCCTGAGAAACATCCAGTAAAGATAAACTAATCTCGACGTAATATTAAACAAATGAGATAAAATACGATAATAGAGCACACCCTCGAACAAGCGCACTATATGAATTAATTTCTCTTATTATTACGTCACAGGTCATTATCAGATAATTATTTTAGTGTCGTTATTAAAATACATTAGCTGTGTTATTGTCAACTATTAAAAATCACACACATCATGAAGAAAGCTAATTTGTATAATTTATTTTCTAATGAATAGATTAATTTTAATATAAAAGAATAATGCAGTTTTACTTGTATATGTGTGTCAACGATTTATATTTTCTACTAATAACACACACTTTTGCCTACTTAGATATTACTTAATATCTTGGTGTGAAATTTTTAAGAATGGCTCAAAAATAAAGAAGCACATTGTGTTAATTTTGCATATTCTATTAATATAAAAGAGGAAACTGATGCAGACTGATTGACGTCATGTGACGCCGATATGCATTTGTATATTTTTATTTAAAACGAGAAATAAGAAGTAGCTTTTGCAAAACTGCAGTCAATGGGACGAGTCGTCGATGTGACGTCAAGCCTACTTCGGTGGTAGATGAATTAAGTACTGAAGCATCGAAGTAAAGTTCTCTTCAACTCGGGTAATTTTCAACAACGCCGTCGCCTGACGGATTTGCTCAGAGTCGCGGCTTTCTCATGTTTTAGACTGTTTTCCTCCGAAAGGTTTCATAAATAATAGGTATCAATAAAAAACCCTTACTTTTCCGTAGCTACAACGCAATAAAGACATGGATACAAGGCGGGAACGCGCGAACTCCCTGCTCGGCCCTGGCCTGCACAATTGCACATGCTAGCGGCGGCCGAAGCCGGTGTTCTCAGTTTTTATTTCGTTCCAAAATTGACATAAAACGGCAAAGGCAAAAATTATTCTTCTTTCACGCTTCTTTAAGAACGCAATAGAGCGGGATCGCTCGGACCCCCCTCGGTTTTTGTGCCTCGGTCCCGTCCTTCACATGCTAGTGGCAGCAGAAGCCGGTGTTCTGTCTTTTTATTTCGTCAAAAATCGTCAAAAAATGGAAAAGGCAAAACCATTCTTCTTTTTTTCACAGCTACAACGCAATAAAGACATGGATACAAGGCGGGAACGCGCGGACTCCCCTCGGTCCTGGTCTGCACATGCTAGCGGCGGCCGAAGCCGGTGTTCTCTCGCTGCTGATGACCAACCCCATCTGGGTCGTGAAGACCCGCCTCTGTCTCCAGTACAGCGAGGAGCACTTGACGGATAATAAGCGGTATAAGGGCATGGTGGACGGCCTGACCAAGATCTACAGGACTGAGGGCATTAGAGGACTATATAGGGTGAGTAAACTTGTCTACTTATGTTTGAACTACTATTACGGTCCTACTATTATCTTCCTTAGATGTGATAGAATCTATGATCAGCAATGTGACTGATATGATATGACTCAATCAGCATGACGTCTACTCCGAATTTCGCAATCATATTATTATTATTTTCGGGTAATCGCGCTAATTTAAAACCTTAATAGCCTGTCCAAATCTGGGAATAATTATATGTAAAACTTTTTTACGCTAGATGCCTGGGAACGAACCTAGGACCTGAACCTGAGTCGATAGATTCTTTGAAATTATATGCTATGCTATGCTTAACTCTGTGTGAGATTGTCCAAAGATATTTATTTAAAATTTCCATTTGATACTGAAGTGTAGACAATAATTTAAACCTAGTCCGCATTAGCTAAGGTAGCAGCGCATGCGTTTTTTCTTAATCATAGCATGAATATGAACTTTGTCTTCAAACCCAAAGTCTATAAGAAATGTTTTCTAGCAATGACGTTCTTTTTTTCGCATGCGGCATTAAGACCAAACGGTTCCATAAATTAATGGCGGCGGCTGTGTACAAACAGCGCGCGAATCACCTATTCTTAGCGGTCATGCGCTTGCTCAGGTTACGCGATCACTTCCAAGAATGAAGAACGACCCATATTAATTGTAGGCTACTTCGCTTTGGGTAGCACTTTTCTTCTTAGTGTATTCTAAAGTTAGGGAAATAGAGAGCTTGGTCTAGTTTAATGCTAGTTTATGACCATAGTAGGACTACCAGCAACTACCCGTGGATGTCGTCGTGAATATACGATCATCAGGCCTCCCCCCAACCCGTCTAGTAGGGGAATTGGGGAATGTATGTCAAATCCTCCCTTACGGGACTATTCCTATCTTTCGTTCCCGCCGCTGCAACTCCTGTGTAGCCAAGGTCTACAGCCGGACTTGTGGCTGCACTGCCAATAAAAACCCAACCAGTGAAGGTTACATCCTCCTTTTTGTCTCTTGTAAATGAACTCATGTTTAGGATCGGTTTAGCCATGCGAGCAGGAAGCA